CTAGGCATCATTAATATATATATACTTTTGGGAGCTAGCTAGTTCATGATCATACGATGCTAAATTGGGAGTGCTAGTTAGTTTTTGCTTCTTTGAAAAACTGTCAAAAATCAAGTCATCTTGAGTCAGGTGTGAAACAGAGAGTTATTTATGCAGATTGCTGAAAATGTTGCATCTAGGAAAAACCCCTCTTTGCTTGGGTTGCTGCACCTGATCTGAAATACTAATAAGTTGAACTTGTTCAACTTTGAAGCTGTCCTCACATACCTTTTGCCAGAATGGCATGAAAGTCACTTTGCACTAATAGAGAAAAATCAACCAAAACCGAAGGGGAAGGGTGGGCCTTTTTCTGCCCAGCTAGTGAGTTTCCTGCTTGATTTTTCCAAGGGCTTTCTGTTGTGTTTTTTTTTTATCCCACTATTTGTTCAACATTGTCTTTTTTTCTTCTCTTCCTCTTGTTTTTTCTTTGGGTGAAAAACAGCTCAGATGCTCCAGTTGAGAAATGCCAATGGTGGTTTAAAATGTATACAGAAGGCATTTCTGACCAAGATGTACATTTGATTGCAGAGAGCCGAAGATGCGAAGGCTCCTTTCTGTGCCCACAACTTAAGATGGAAGATAATTATGTCACTGCTATAGAGACAGTAAACAGGCTGAAGTAATTATAAGTTCAGAAGCCCTCGGAGTTAAAATATATGTACTGCTGCCTCGGTGCACTGTGGTAATTGCCATCCCGCTTCTCTTTTAAGTGGTACCACAGTGTTACTTTGACAGGAAAGCTAGTGACGTTAGGAGCGCCAGCCTTTGATGGAAGTTCTCTTGCAAATGTAAACAGGGATTGTCAATTGTCAGATCTTTCCGTGGAGCATGACCTTGATTGTTTCCAGGGAAATTAAATGGGTTTCTTTTTTTAATGACTGTGTTAGGTTTGGAGAAACCTAAGTTTGAGTCTTTGAGTGCGTTTCTCAAGCTTTTGGAAGATTTTGCACCTTTGCAAGATAATATGGTGCCGTAATCTTATAGAGAGACGGTGTGAAATTTTTGACAAGAGCAAACTTTACCTATTTTCGTTTTCTGTAAAATTTCTGAGAAGAGCTTTACCCATTTTTTTCTTTTTTTGCACCAGACAACCACAATTGAATATTAAGTGTGCATCAATGAATATTAAGTGAGCAGTGGAGCCCCTTGTGGCACAGTGGGTTAAACTGCAGGGCTGCTGAACTTGTTGACCAAAAGGTTGCAGGTTCAAATCTGAGGAGCGCCATGAAGTCCTGCTGTCAGCCCCAGCTTCTGTCAACCTAGCAGTTCGAAAACTTGTGAATGTGAGTAGATCAATAGGTGCCGCTCTGGCGGGAAGGTAACGGCGCTCCATACAGTCATGTCAGCCACATGACCTTGGAGATGTCTACGGACAATGCCGGCTCTTTGGCTTAGAAATGGAGATGAGCACCAATCCCCAGAGTCAGACACAAACTGGACTTAATGTCAGGGGAAAACCTTTACTTTTTACCTATCAATGAATAACAGCCCTTTCAAAGGGGATAACTGTATTGAGGGGTTGTGGTGGTGCAGCAGGTTAAACTGCAAAGCTGCAGAACATGCTGACCTGAAGGTTGGCAATTCGAATCTGCGGGAAGGGGTGAGCTCCCATTGTTAGTCCCAGCTTCTGACAACCTAGCCGTTTGAAAACATGCAAATATGAGTAGATAAAGAAGTACTGCTTTGGCCTGGGAGGCATCTACGAGCAACGCCAGCTCTTCGGCCTAGAAATGGAGATTAGCACCACTCCCCAGAATCAAATTCGACTAGACTTAATGTTAAGGGGAAACCTTTACTTTACCTTTAATTGTATTGAGAAAGAAGCTGAGTTTAGAAAGATTTCTCCATCAATAGCCAGCTAGAAAATCAGATATTTCTAATTTGGTCCAGCACAAAGAAAAATCTGTTAGCTATTTGCTATTAAACTCTGAAACAAGTTATCATCTTGTATATCATGGGAGGTTGTAGAGAGGGATTTGTTCTGTGGTGCTGAGTGAATAAAAGATGTGGAGTCTGTGGTTAGATATCCCAACATTTTTTGGGGTGAGATGTCTGTGTTGAGGGAAAAAGAGAGGACAACCCTTCCTTTGGGTTGCTTGGCCATGTTCCAGCAGCATTCTAATGTTTCACCTGCATCTGTGGCTGGTATCTTCAGAGGTAAAGATGCCAGTCACAGATGTAGGGCTTAATATTAGGAGAGAATGCTACTGGAACATGACCATACAACCTGAAAAACTCAGCAACCCAGTGATTCCAGCCATGAAAGTCTTTGATAATCCTTCCCCTCCCAACCCACATCCTATTCCCTATGCTATTGTTAACATGCTTTCCTCAAAGCCTAGCTGCTAATTCATAATGCATATCTAAAAGGACATCAAGATTCTTCTTATACTCCTTCCATGTTGTTTTTATCCTGCCATCATTCCATAGTGATGTCTTAAGTTTTTTATCATACCCTTGCTTTTCAGTTCTGAACATGGGATTAGCAATTAGCAATACTACATTGTGAGTGCAATTACTATGTATCATACTGTGAATGCAACAGTTTGATTGTGACAGTTTTAACTGGAATTTACATTTGTTTATTGTACATAATATCATGTTGAATGATATTTAATACCTCATTTTTGTTACATTAGAGGATATTTGTCAGTTAAACCCTTGGGAACCCATTTTTTCTTATATTAGCAATAGTTTTCTCAGTAGACCTTACACTTCTCTTTCCCACATTGACTCCACTCCCATTTTTCTATCTGCTGTACAGATAAATCCCTGAATCATGTTTATGAACCACTGGATGTGGTGTTCACTTCTGATAAAGGGAATGTAGTTTTAGTGATAAGAGGAAGGTTCAATCTAAGAGGAAAAATAGTGCCACTCTGCATTGTACAGAAAAAAAAACATTTCCTAGGGAATGGAGGTAGTAGGCCTCTCACAACAGTTGAGACAAAAGATTTTATATTTTATGATTTTTTGGAGCAGGTTTTTCAAGCCTGGTTTCCTCCAAATGTGTTCTACTACATCTCTCATAGACTCAATTAGCCTGGGCTGGCTAAGTTAACAGAGGATCAGCCATAGCAGAGCAGCTGATGAACCAACCTGGACATAGTATATTATTTGAGAACACAGAAATGCTGGACCACCCTAACAACTACCATGTCAGGTTACACAGAGAAACCCAAACACAGGGGAACTCCAGACAAGAAACAATCAGGAACAGCTAATCACCCCTCAACATAGGATTCCCCCAGGCAGTAATAAGTCACACCTAAAAACTGTCAGGTCATCAAATGCTAATCAAGGTGGCCAATTAAAACATTCATACCTGGCTCCAACAGACAAGAGTTCTTTCTCCCACCCTGGATTTTCCACAAATATATAAAACCAATTTTCCTAGTTTCTAACAGGCCTTACAACCTCTGAGGATGCATCAGGAGAGAATAATTCTAGAACATGGCTAAACAGCCCAAAAAACCTACAATAACCTAGTTAACAGAGTATAATATTTAGTAGTAGATTTAATACATCTGGAGAGCACTAGACTGGGGAAAAGGTATTCTAGATTATGGCGCCTATTATTTCTTCCATTGCAAAAGAGGTCTAGTAATAATAATAATAATAATAATAATAATAATAATAATAATAATAATAATAATGGAGGTAGGGTGCTCCTCTGGTGCAAAAAGAATGTTCTAATAAAAGTTCACACTTGAAGTCTGATACACCATCCAAGCTAAGGAACTACTGCTGTGAATATAATTTCTGCTTTTTAGCCACAATTATGAGTTTACTTTGCCTATCTCTGATGTACATTAATTTCTCTTGGTAGAATGTATTTTGGGTTATTTTGGTTTATATTGGAGTCATTGTTTTCAAAAGACTCCCAAGAGCAATAGAAGGTCTTGCAGTAGTGGCTTTCAGAAGGTTCCAACCCTATGCATATTGCTGTTCAGCTTCCTCATTTGCTCAATCGCCAGTTGTAATGCATAGTTAGCCAAGGTATGTTATTAATGTTCTTAATATCTATTTTAATATGACTAGTTAAAATATTTAGACCTTATCTACACCACTTTCACAAAGAATTGCCTTTTATCCCACTTTCTGGCAACAGATCCAAATAGATTCCAGAGTTTGTTTCATGTGGTTGTCCTCAACAGGCGGCTTTGCATTAGAGCTGCGAGAAAAATACTACTGTACTCTATAGCTGCACCGGCATTTGTTTTTCAGTGGCTTCATCTATACTTGAAGGTCCTGTCGTGTGTATCAGTAATGACGTTTAATGGGTCAAAGACCGTTAACGTCTGTAAAAGAGAATGTAAATGGGATAAATAATCTAATAACTTGTTCAGGTTTTGTGTTTTCTTTCTCTCAGTCCTGCTTCTCTGTGTTTCTTCCTACATAACAGTGATTGTTTTGCTTTTTAAAAGTATTTCTTAGATCCAGAGAGAATGTTCAAATCATTGGTGTGGCTGCTAAAGGGTTCCTGCCCCTTGGCACCCATGCCACATTTGGTAACATGACTTTTGGGATCATGTGAGCTTTCCTGCATCAGCACAAACTATCACACGCATTCTGGGCTGCTGCCAGATACCAGTGTGGTTCAGACCATCCTGTTGATGCAATATCAACCATGTGTGTATGTGTGTGTGTGTTTTCAAGTTGCCTGCCGCCTTATGACAACCCCATGAATTTCATAGGGTTTTCTTAGGCAAGGCATACCCAGAGATGGTTTTTCTAGTTCCTTCTTCTGAAAAATAGGGTTGCTGTGATTTGGTATCGGATATGCCAAGGGGAATTGGATATGCCACTGAATTCCAATTGTGTCTAATGTTCACAGTTGGTAGGGTAAAACTGGCAACTGATCACCTGCCTTCTGCTTGTTGGGTTTGCTTAGTTGTCATCAGCAAGAACACTGTAGCATTATGTGCTGACATTCTCTTTTTCTGGTTTGTTCTTTCCAGGTTTTTGACTTTAGCCTTGAAGAAGAAGATATGGAATATTTAGACTCCATGAACATCAACAAAAAAATGATTCACCTGACTTATCCACTGTGGAAGGGATGATCTTGAACAGAATCACTGCAGATGTCCAGGATTCAAAATAGGATGATCTCTATCCTAAGCATGTCTCCAGTGTTTTTATTATTGTGCTCTAAGCTGCTGGAACTGACACCCCTCATTGATTATTGCATGCACAAGCCAATGTTTCTCTGTTAACAAATTATTTCAGGCAAGCAATTATCCCTTTTACAGTAAAATACATGTTGGGAAATTTTCAGCCTGATCTGGGTAAAAATGAAGACAGCCAATGTCCTTTGTTGTTGGCCACGTGTGAGACAAATCGAACTTGTGCAGGATGATCGTGAGGATTGACTAGTGTGATAAATTTACGGTCATGTCTGCACATGATTTATACATGAAAGTCATTAAATAAGTTTCTAAGCAAGTGCTATTGTACCTCATTGGAATCCATGTTTAATGGCAATAAAAAATTGCTGCATTGAGGTTCTTCTGATTCACAAGATCATGCTCAAAGCCAAGAAATACGTTCCTAGTACTCAACCACTCACTTGTTCTCTCTGTTAGAACATATAGTGTATCATCATATACTTTCCTCCTCCGTTTTGGTCAAAGATATCAGGAAAATGCTTCACTGACTTATATCCTGTTTCTCATAGCTAAAAAAAGGAAAGAAGAGAGAAGCACTTTTTTTGGCAATAATTCTTGGTGCCCATATAGGATTTCCATTGTTTAACAGTATGGTAGAACACATTGCTTCTTGGCAGGGGGTTGGACTGGATGGCCCATGAGGTCTCTTCCAACTCTTTGATTCTATGATTCTATGATTGAGTAAATCCCTTCAACTCTGAAATACTTGAGGATTAGTTTGCGCTCAGAAAGCTGCTTCTGTGACCCCCCCCCCACACACACACAAACAAACATATACAGGCACTCCCTGAGTTACAAACATTCAACTTACATATGATTCATAGTTAAGAATGGGGGTGAGACAACAGGAAGCGAGAGAAATCTACCCCTAGGAAGAGAAATTCACTTCTAGAAGAGTTTTCATGGGGGAAAGGTGTCCCAAGTGAAAATTTAGCACCAATCCTTGTTTCCATGAGAAGCCTTTTTTGTCAAAATTAAATTCTCACAGGGACAGAAAGTGAGTGAAATCCTCATAATGGGGGCACAGATACTACATGGGTGTTAACCAAAGCACTCTTTCTCTCTCTATATATATGTGTGTGTGTGCGTGTGTATACTGTATAAACACACACACACGTGCGCGTGCATGTGCATATGGCTGGAGTTACACTTTAAAATATACCTTTTCTAACTAGCATACAAATTCAACTTAACAAACCTACAGACCCTATCTTGTTTGTAACTTGGGGACTGTCTGTATATACACTAAATAATTATCCCTTATAATGAGAATATGGGTGGAAACCATTTTGTTCCAACTCCTATTGCCCTAGCCAGTGGCAAAGAATGATTGAAGTTAAAATTCAGCAACTTTTGGATAGCCACTACTGGATAAGACAAAATGATGTGATAGAACCCAAGGAGTAGATCAGTAGTTCACATTGCATCCTATATTGGGGCACAATTTTCAGAGGACAACAAGGCTTCAGTGAGATTTGGGTGAAACTTCCTTACTTGCTGCTAGATGTCAGACTCAGGAAATCAAGCTAACTTTAAGATGCAACTCGCATTGTAGAATAAATACATCAGTGTTTGGTATATTCTGCAATATAAAAATGTAGTGTGGTATATAAATACTAGCATGATGGATAGAAACACATTTCCAAATGCTGATCCTTGATTTCTGTACCTGGGAACAGGAGGACTTCAGGTTTGTAGGAAATGGCAGATTTTGTTTTTTGAGATTTGGAACCTAGAAGTCCGCCAAACAATAGCTGAAATGACCAGAGCCAGATGTAAAATAATTGGATCAAGAGAGAGTCAGGGATCTATCACCAACTTTTACAATTTCCGTTTGATTTATATTTGATCAAGGGTTCTAATACAACATGGCAACATTGGCCAAGTGGCTGAGGATTTTAAACTAGGACTTGTAGATTATTTTGAGAAAAAACTCCACTTGGTTCTGGATAGCTTATTTAAATCGTTCAGACAACCACTCATAAATCCTGTTATGCCTTTCCCCCATCTGTGTTAAAGAATGACATCTCTTCTTCACATTTCACATGCAAACAACAGTGAACCACCAGTATTGTGTTAAGTGTAAATAGAACCTAAATTGCTTTGCAGTGTGATCCTGAATGTGAAGTTCCTCTCCAGCCTATGATGCAAGTGCCATCTCCAGATGACAAAAACAGTTTTTGCTCATGTGAGCAAACCTAGTGCAATATTCTGTGTTTTCATAATGAGGGAGGGGAATAATTTTGCTTCACATATTAGCCATTACATATTACTTTGAATAAATAATCAGATCCAGCACCGGAATGGAGCAGTAGGGGGCACTTCGGAAAAGATTTAAAAATAAAGCAATGGGCTTTTCAGATGTTACATTTCAGCTGTGCTCTGCCCCAACCTGCCTTCCCAACATTGAGGGATGGCGGGGATAGCAATTCACACATATCTGAAATTCAACAACAGCTACATAAAATGAGGAAATAGTTGGAACCTTTGGAGGGAAAGTGAGAATTACAGTCTTGCTTGTGTTTTATAAACCTTATGAGTATGTAACAGATTGGGAATATTGTTGGCATAACATCCACCCTGCTGCTCAATATTCTCCATTGCTGAAGTGGCCAAATATGATAAGAAGAATCCCGGGATGTTGGTCTTGGACACTTCAGCATTCATGCCAAAAATGCCTTGACTGAACTGGTTTTTGTAACTTGTGACTACACTGAACTATTCAAACTATCTGGCATGTGTGTCTTGGGGGATCGATTAGAGGTAGTGTCTACCATCTTGGTAGCAATCCTATTTTATGTACAATAGTGATATATATATATATATATATATATATATATATATATGAATGAAGTCACCAGGGGCATGCATTAAGAAACTGGGAATGAGGAATTAACCAGTAAACTGATGGTGCCCAGCTCTATTTCACTATGAATTTTGCCACATTCTTAACCTATACCTTGGATAACTGGGGCCTACAAGACAGGTCCTGACAAGGCAGAGATGGGCAGTTTGCCTCTCCTAAATCAAATTGCTTTCCTCCAGGAAGAACAGGTGTGTTTTCTACCATTTTCAAAAAGTGCTTTCAATTCTGATGTTTCTGTCATGATGTTTCCATTTTAATGACTGTTTCTTTATAGTATATCATTTTGAGATCAACAAATGAATGTTAATGAATGAATGAATTATTTATTAATAATTGTTAATATATTTGTAATAACTAATATTAAATAAAAAAATAATCTAACACATATACTCTCCCTTGAGACAATTTTCTTCTGACGACTCAATTCAATGACTGGAATAACACTGATATTTCATTGCAAAGTAGATAACCTTCAGAGGCTGAACTACTGTTACAACATACTTGACTATTAACTTCTGGCTGAAACTGCTAGGAAGTTGAGTCTAACAACATCTCGGGAGCCACAGGTTCTCTTTTGTGGCCACTGTAGCTCACAGAAAAGGACTGTGTGCCCATGCAGAAACACATATGGAACATTTCAGAGAGCAGTAGCTTTTGATGGGGAACATGCACCCTTAAGGTACAAACATAAATAGTGCCAAGACTTATCTCCTATCTTCTTTTCTATCCATTGTGGTGTTTACATCTCCAGATAGCTTCTGGTGTTGAGAAGGTTTTTTTTCTTTTCCCTTTATGGTTCTGCCCTTCATTTTGTCTTGCTCAGGTTTGCCTCCTTGCGTCTTCCCCTGACTTACTCTGGTTAGTGGCTTCTTAGCTATTTTTGCATGACGTCGAGGTCTATTTTCATAAAATGTGGCTTCTGTGGTGATAAGATTGCTAACTCAGATGACCACTCACAATGCTTGTTTCTCCTGGATGAGGGTCATTGGTCCATTCTTCCTCTGTTTATAAAGAGTTTACAACCCAAGGATTACAAGCCAACAGACTTTCACAGCTCCATCTATATCTTTGTGAGCAATTTCTGAAGGTCATGAATGCTCCCACTCAGAATGCATCCCTCCATTCCACTTTGACATCACTCTGTAAGAGATCCCCTACACCCAAAGTACTCTTGAGCCCAGCATGCATGGCCTCACCATCAACTTTAGATCCAGCCAGATCTGTTGCTTCTCCAACACTTGCAGAGGCCCAATGAAGCCAGGATATGCTCAGCCTCCTGTCACCACAAACAAATCTGTTCCTGCAACAACAACAACAACAACAACAAACTTTCTCTCCTGCCCCATCTCCCCTGTATAGCTGAAGCCAGGCAAGTATGTCTTTGATTCAGCCAGCCCCCATAAAGAAAAGAGAAAAGTTGGGGATACAGGCAAGGCTGGATTGAAAGCTGTTTTTGTAGTACTTATCTCTGTATTGACCTCCCCTATGGCTTATCTCCTTTTCCAACCATGAATTTGGCCTTACTCTATCTACTTTACATCAAGGAAGAATCAGCATAGGAGATCCCTCAGACAGCATGCTTCCAGATTGACCAGCCCTTTACAGAGTACTTGAGCCTAGCTGTGGCTACTCAGACTCTTTCCTCTTGCAGCCCTCCAGTTGTGAGCTCTCAGGAAAACCATTTACCAGCCATAAGACACCTTGTCTCTCACCTCATCCATTTATCCCTCTATCACTCCACCAATTCACTTCTTCATATCACTCTTGTTTCCTTCAAAGCCTTGAATCATGCTTGATTTGACACCTTTCTTCTCTAGGTCATCTGAGCCGTGGTTTGCACTGAGTTGACTCTGTTCTCCTTCCACGAAGTGTGAGTCGAGGGAACAACTCTTGGTGTAGTACCATTTTGGCTTGGACCATCCACATTCTTCTTTATATCACCAGCATAATCAACATCATGTCAACTCTCCGGGTTCAGACTCAGCTTCATCTGGCTGTCATATGTTTGAACTGCCTTGGTTAGAACCACTATGAATCTGCTTACTCATATCATGGTGAGATAGTCATCTGTCCCACTCAATGCATGAAGTGTCTACATCCTAGCCATGGCTACAATGCATTTCCCTGCTAGAAGTCTGCAGTAGCTATTTGGGCTCAAGCTTCAATCTATATCTGACACTGTAGACTGTAAGGGTCGGGCTGATGCATCCTTTGGAAGGGTGGTAATGTTATCTATCAAAAACTGACCAGGCCCACTTCCTAAGATAAGCTATCCAATCACTCATTTGTGTGAACACCAAGAATACAAAGGATGAAGACATGATGCTTACCTATAATTAGTTCTTTGAGTAAGCACCTGTACCCTCATACAACTCATCTCTTTCTGCAGGTCTGATTTGCTATCAATGGACAGTGGAACTAATTGGGAATGGCTCTTGGCACTGTTTAAGTCTGCATCTGAAAAGGG